AAAAAAGCATCATTGGAGGGTTGTTCCTTCTAATATTATATTTCCACTTTTTCATTATTTAGTTTTTAATCTAGTGCTTTTATTTAGTATGCATTGGGCTGACTATTGCATTTGTAACAGCATTTATATTCTGCATGATCACTTAAAACATAATTGTGCCACAGTGAGATTACTTGTAAATGTAGAATAATTGAATTAAATCAACTCTGGGCTGCAAGGGAAGATCTGCTGCCTGTCTAACCAGTATTTTATTTTTATCCTCTATCTACTGTATATGCTTGTTAGTTTGAAATATCACAAAACCATCTGCAGAAATACTAAGGCCTCCACACAGAAACTTATTTTTTAAAAACAGGTAACCTTTCATTTGTCATTTCTCGATCTTGACAACATTGAGCTCATGGTACTTGGCTTAGTTCTCAATAATAATAATAAATAAATAAATAAATAAATAAACAAACAAACAAATACATAAAACGTCCATCAAACACACAAATTAGCTACAAAAGGTATAGGTCAATCAAAATATCTTAAAATTAAAAAAATAAATAAAAATACAGACATCTTAATAACACTCCATCAATTTCATGGGATTAAGAAAAGACAGAAGTGATATTATGCTTGAGTTTCTATGCTTGTTGCTCTGGAAACCATTGTTTTGCCATCTTCCTTCCTGCTTTGCATTCCTGCCCACAATGCGATGAAAACTAAATTGCCTTTCAACAAAGCAGATTGGAGCGGTGTGAGGAAAAGAAAAAAGGTTAGGACTCTGGTGACTGACAGATGCAAAAGAGCTGAAAACAAAAAAGAAAAACCATGACAAAAGGCCGAGTGGAACAGGAACTGCTCGAGAATTTCAACTCAATGGTCATTTTGCTCTCCCAGCGCCGCATGTTACCTGATATCAGGTAGACTGATTTTTATCTTTGCCTCACAGCAGAACCAGGCCAGACAGCGGCATATTTAAAAGAGCAAAGAAATGACACCCACTGAGATTACGCCCATTCAACACAGACTGTAAATATGCTGGTTCTACCCTCATAATCCCCTAAAAGCTAAAATCCACCCAAGCTGTCGAACCGGCCTCGTTTTAATTGAGCTTCCTGGCATCTTTTACAGCCGTTCATTTCAAGTTCTTGGATGTTGAGTGATTTGTTACTTCATGCTTGTTTTCCACACCTGAGGAGGACTGGTTGTGCACATATACCGTGAGTCTGGCTGTACAAACTCAAAACAGCCAGGTGTGCTTCATAAAGAACAGCCCTCACAGAGTAAATACATCCTTTACACGAGAGAGAGAAGGGGGCATGTACTCACAGTTCCTCCAGATAAGGAAAATTCTTGAATACGTATGCTGGAAGCTCCGTGATGTTGTTCATACTCAGGTCACTGTGGAAGAGGGGGGGAAAAAAACAACAGTTAAGTGTCTGACGTCTCGGCCTGTCACGATAACAAATTTTACTGGGTAATAAATTGTCTCAGAAATTATTGCGATAAATGATAATATTCTTGTAGACCAATTTAAACTAATATAAATGGTATAACAATTACTGTTTACGGAAGTTTACATTAAAATTTACATAGTGTAAATAGCAAAAACAACTATCGGCAATCCCAAGGGGTCGTAACCTGTATGAAGGCATCAGAAAACTGAAGACGCTCCTCTGGCTAAATGCCTGTTCACAGGCTTTCATGCTACAAAAGGTTAGGAGACCATGCACCTGGCAAATACCTGCAACTGTCCGTCTTACCAAGTTTTTAAATCTTATATCCAACCAAAGTCTTTTTGATCGTGTTTTGAGACTGATTTACTAAACAAGAACTGATTGTGTAAGAATAATAATCTTGTTTTCAGAATGTGTAAGATTATTTGTCTTGTTAGCCTGAAAATTTGACTCAAATTCAGTCAAAAATTTCTGCCAATGGAGTAAGAAAATTTTACTTTGTAAGCTTCTTGAAATAAGAAAAAAATTGAGTCAAACCAAGTATTTCAAGAACCTTACCAAGTAAAATTTTCTTACCCCATTGGCAGAAATGTTTGACTTAATTTGAGCCAAATTTTCAGGCTAACAAGACAATCTTACACATTCAGAAAACAAGATTATTACTCTTACACAATCAGTTCTTGTTTAGTAAATCAGTCTCAAAACAAGATCAAAAAAGACTTTTTGGCTGATATAAGATTTTAAAACTTGGTTAGGTGGACATTTTTTGCAGTGCACCTGAGTTCACTCCTCTCTATGCCAAGAAGTTAAAAAAGGCAGGCAGAGAAACACAAAGAAGACAAAAAAAGAAGGCAAATGAAAATGATGGTCTTCATTTAATTTATCTTCCTCAGTTTATCATACGATTAATCGATTTATTGTTATTGTGACAGGCCTACTGAGGTCTATAGTGCTTTCACCTTTAGATTTTCCAGTTCCTTAATCATTTCACTTGTCCATGATTCAAAAGTAGAGACAGATTGTTGGGTCAACTATTTTAATTTGTCCGATATGGACCACTTTTAATAAACTGGTAATCACCCATACCTGAGCATACTCAGTAGTATATTTATTTATATTAAGCAGTTTTAGTCATATGTTTTTAAATGAAAAATACTTGATTGATTTCTAAAGATCAGTATCAGCAGCAGAAAAAGTCATATCAACCGACCTCTAACTCAAAGTCAAGGTAGGTCAACTAACTGGTCAATATTTGCTATTTTTTTAAATACTCGGTTATCAGCCATGCTTGTGTATACAATTACCACACAGGGGAAAAAAAACAGTTGTATATTGGCCAATACTTGTCTTGATTTCTAACTGACTGGCACCAACCAAACATAGAAAAACTCAGTAGTGGAAGTTTTAATCATTTTATCATGTTGCCATTTATATCGGTTCAATAAACTGTTGTAGAAGTTTACTTCAACATATGTTTTCTATTTTATTCTAAATTGTAAAGTGCTTACATGGAAAAGGGAAAGCATGCAAAGCAATTTTATAAAACGATTTATATAATTTACATAAAGTTCTTTTACAAAAACATGTGCTCTCCGTTAATCCATCCTTAATATCTTGCTATATGTTTTGGTATCTGCAGTACTAAACTCAAGAAAAAGAATACCATGAAAYAAAACCTTTCCAATTTAGCCCAAGGGATCTTCATTTTTCAAATCAACAAGTTAAGATAAAACGTGTAGCAGCTTGACAAATATGCACACACTACTTGGGTTTGCTTCCCCAACAAACCTAATGTTAATATGTGTTTGAAGTTTTTAGAATGATCATTTAAAAACACGTATGTTGTGTTTTTAACTGGTGGTGAAATGCAAGAGTGCCACAACAATGATTGATGCTATGAGACCTGCTGAAAAGACTTGGACAATGAGGGTAAACTCAGGCCTGAATCTTTAATCTTGATTAGGGATTTACTAAAGAAAAAAAAAAAAGAGCTCTAAGATCCCGCATCCAAAATATATGACAAAAATCAAGCCTGGGAAAAAAAGAGACAGAAAGAAACCAGCTAGAATACACAAATTAAATTAAAAAGAATCTCCCCAGCACCATCCTTGCTTTTTTACTCCCCAACAGGCGTCTTAAATTTCACAACCAGATCTCTCTTGGACCTGGTGTGTGGGCCCCCTGAAATCTACAAGGATCACATTGCCCTTCCTCTGCAGACCCCCTCGTGCACGCGCACGCACGCACGCACACACACACACACACACACACACACACACCTTAAAAAAGGTGCACATTGACAGAACCATCATCATCCCAGCGACCTCTGTCCCATCTCCACCTACCTGGTTATCCAATTACCATATAGACTATGTCTCTACAACAACACTTCTATCAACACTGACCTTTCAGTATGATTTTTTTTCCAACCCTAAATAACATTTCTCAAGGTGGTCTGCAACCTCTGCTGCCATTCTACTGCCACTGTTCAGATTTATTCATGTCTAACTCCATATTTAACTAAAGTCTTCTCAAACTGTTGACTGGAATAAACCACCTGCAGGCTGGGGAATAACTGAAGGCCTGAATGACTCTATCACACTTCCTCCCGCCCTCGGTGCCTGGCTGCTTTACTCATCAAGGTCCTGGCCTGTCCGCGCTAAGACAGATTCAAGAGGACACTAAAAATGCAGCTGTGATAAATGGTGACAGGCTTAAATGCTTCTACAAACAGGTATCTGGAAATTCCTATTCCATGTGGCCCGGTTGGTTTTACTTTAACAGAGAAGAAGCAGAGAGGTAAAAGACACTCGAAACAAAAAAATACGGCTCTACAGTTAAAGCATAAAATATATAGTTATGTAGAAAAAATATATATAACTTGTCTTGTGCATTGATCAGCACAAAAACACAAAAATGCACTGAGTGATGAGAAATGAAAACAATTTTCATAAAGTTGTTTATTTGGTATTTTAAAACAGTTATTCTTAACTGAGCTAGTTTCTTAAAAAATAAAATAAAAAAGACCAGGAAAATATTTAGTTTGAGGCCTCTAAAAACTCAAGTTCACGTTTTTTTTTTCACCAGTGGTTTCACCAATAAGGAAATGAAAACACACCTGCACAGTGTTCCTGTTATAAAATCTAAAACCTGTGTGCTGCTGCTTTTTCTTCAAGTTCAGTGAAAGAGATGAATTAACTAKATAAACGAGAGAGGTTTAATGACGTACGAGTCAAAAATAGCTTAAAAATGTTTTAAAGCACCATAAAAAGACGTTGAGCTGTCAGCAAACATGATGGGAATAAAATATCTTTTTAATATGATTTACTTAATGGAGTTAATTTAATAAGTCTCATGTTAAATATATTAATTTATCCAAAGCTAAATGAATTAAAATCTGTGCAGTGATTAAAATCAAAGGTTTTTAAAATTATATTTTTTGATGATAGGTTATTGTCACTTATTACATTCATGTAATAAGTGACAATAACCTATCATCAAAAAAATATAATTTTAAAAACCTTTTGATTATTGTCACTTATTATATTCATGTAAGCTTTTAAGTACCCATAAGTACTTCACACACTTAAAAAAAACATGRCTATAATGGCCTATAATTTTGTTACATACAAATTACTCCAAACTTTTAACAAACTGGTGCTTCAGAGATGTGAGATACTAACGCGCAGTGAAGAGCAGCTCAATCTGAGACTGTGGTGTTATGAGCTGAGTTTTTGTGCAAATGAAAAGAACAGCTGTGTATAAATATTACCTGAACAGGACCAGAGAGTAATGAGATTAATGATCTGGTCACCACTATATTTATAATTTATTCATCACCACTATGTTTATACTATATTTCCCTGCTGCAGGACAATAAAGGCTATTTCTATTTCTATAACCAAATCAGGTTTAGAAGCTGATTGATTGGACCTGTAATACCGAGATGGATAAGCGTCAAAGTAACATCAAAAGAAATATTGCTTTAGGACTATTACCTCTCAGAGCAGCAGGTCCTGTGTACTGTTGTTGCTATGACTTAAGTGRTTGTGTTAATACGTTACTTTGGTATTTCACTTAACCCGTCAGCTAACCTCTTGAAACATCAACTCAAGGAGCTCATGAACACAGCAGCTCCAAAACTTTGGTACCTAAAAAAAACAAAGGCGTTATGACAGGATAGTCTGGTGGGTAGAGAACTTAGAAGCAATAGTGCCAGCTGCTTGTGTGATATGGTGACAATTAATACACAATTTAAAACATCATGCAGTTTAAAGTTTCAGGTTAATACCACTGTCTCACATCACAGCTCACAGCTGCTAAACTCCAAAATGTTCTTCCAATCTGAAAAGTGCAAAAAGCTTTGGATCTTTTCAAATGATAAGTACCCTACACAAACAGTAAAGATTTTGAATTTTTCTACTAAAAGTATAAAAACAATAAAACAATCTGACAAGTCAAGATCCATAACATTTCTGAACTTTGGAAACAACAACAAAATAGAAAAAAATAACTCAACAACTGTCTGACTGAAGATTGGAAATAGGTGTTAAAGCTGAAGGAAAAAGCAGCAAAGTAAAAGCGATGAGGGGGGTAGGGAACGTTCTCCAACCCACAGCTCATCCTGTTTTGCAGCGGGAACTACTGAGTAGCTCCTTTCACCTCTACTGACCAAGAACAACAGTATCATTCAGTTAAAATGAATTGAGGGCTCCAGTGGCGAAGCCGGCAAGCTCCACCAGTTGGGACCAAGAACCCCCGACACCACCCCTCAGTTTTCTCCAAGATATAGAGTCATTCACGCTATGAAAGAACCTAACATGGCTAAGATATAAGCCGTAATAACACCCTCATGCTCCCTCAGAGTGTACAAATATCTGTGCAAGGCAATGTACCAAACATTTGAAGTCAGAAAAAGGTAAACTACATTACTCTCTAAAAAGA